GTTGTCATTGAGTATTAAGAATTTTCATGCAAGTACAAATCATAAAACAACCTATTTTTCAAATGAAAATGGAAATTAAAATTTTTAAATAAAACACTAATGCATTTAAATATGTCCATGTCCCTTTAAGCATTAGCATGCTAAATTACCATTTCTGTCTACAGCAATTTGTAGCATCATTTATACAAAGAGTTTTAGTCATAAGTAATGTATCTGCATATGTGTAAACATACTCATGTAAACATATCTGCATGGCTGTATAAATAATTAATGCACTTTGTACATATTTGCACCTTAAGTCAAGGGCATGTACAAATCTGTTTACTTATATGCAAAAGCAAATATTGTGTGCTAAATGGTTTATCTATGGTGTTTCTTTATGGAGAAAGCTTTCAGTATAAGCCTAGCCTAAGCTTCTTTGGATGAATTAGGTCGGTCTCTTTCTTAATTCTTTAATTCTCCAACCATTGTTCATCATGTTTTATTCGAACATCATCTTGAACTAGAAGCTTTATAGTGGGGTTTCTTTTAATTTCATGCTCACTGAAGCATAATACTGTAATCCCAATGCTCTATACATATGAGAGAATTCTCTTTCTCCAGTATGAAGCCATTTTGATGGAAATCATGATAGAAAAGTAATAAAATTCATGGTAGCTAGATTACACATATATTTACTCACAGTACATAAAATCACAGAAGAACACATAGTAAAATTTAACTTTTACACACTGGAAAAAATTTGCTCATGGGTAAATTTCTTGCCATATAAATACAGCAGTATTACTGAAGTTTGTACGAAAATATTCTTGAATGGATTTAAAACAACATAATCATATTTGTGCATAGTTGCCTACCTGTGATTGTTATTTTAGCTTTGAATAATTAAAAACTATGCAAGTAAAAACATATAATGGCATTTTTTAAAAGTGCATTTTTATTGAGTTTTAACTATTCATGATACTGTGCCAATTCTTGCAGCTTTAGCTTTAAGCATAAATTTCTAATGAGCATATCAGAAAACAAACAGTATGGGTATTGATTTGTCATGTTTCAATCTGTTAACACATCATCCTTAATGAAATATTAATACCTTAGTCTCTGTTAAACATCATATTTCTCTTATAATCAAGATTAAATGACAGATTAGTTGAAGATCTGCAATTATTAGATTTGACTTTCTTGGTCTGATATTCTGTCAGTCTTATAAGGCTTTTTATGGAATATATAGCTTTAGATAATAAATGTATATCTAATAAATATGAATCTGGAAGATGTTTTTTTTTCATACTGCCAATCATGCAGTTTCCAGATCAGAAAAGGTTTATTTAGATTTAGGTCAATGCTGAAGTTTTTAAGGCACCCAGTGTAGAATCTTTCTAAGATGGAATTTGCTTCTCTGTGGATCACAGTTGTATATTTATATATAAGTTAATTTTTTGCTCTACTTTTCTAAGAATTAGGAGAACTTATACAATGGTATCTGTGATCCATCTAATATTTGTTTGCTTGTGAACAATAGTTCAAAAATTGTTTTTCCACCTACATTTTTTGGTATATGTTGGTAAAACTTTGAATAGGAGTTTTAAATATTGTAAGATACAATTTTTTGGCATTGATTTTTTAAATTTTGATGAAAAATGTTACAATTGTTGCTAAAAAAATGTGTTGTAAATATTTCTAGAACAAAATTTGTTTACTTACTAGCAGTTCCTATATTGCTATTCCAAAATATTTTTACATGATACTTATTTCTCTGTTTGGTTTAAAACTGGAATTAAAAAAAAATTTTTTTGTTTACAGCAAGATAAAAAAGAAAATATTATTTGTATTAATTTTATTCCTATTAAAAATGGTAGGTCTGAACCAGTAGAGCTACAGTCTCTTTAAAGACTCATTAGCACTTGAATGTTGATGATTCTTGTGGTTTGAATGTTCCAGTTAATAGGCTATGGCACTTGATGTTATTGAATTTTCTTATGATAAAAGAGTATACCCCAACCTAGGTAGGGATTACAGTATATTTTCTATTATAAGAAAAATAAATAATATCAGTAGGGGGTATATTCTATTATCGTAAGAAAAATAAATAACATCAGGTGCCTCTAAGTAGGGGGGTTATATTTTTATCATAAGAAAAAAAAATATAAGGTGCCTTTGTATGAAACTTGTGGACAAATACTTGTAAAATACAATTATTTATTATACCTCTACTGTTATTACTCTATATAAAATTAATACCATAAAACTGTCTATATCCCTGAGAAGATACTATTTACCCTCATCTGAGGACTAGTCCCTGAAAAATCGGATCTACTCTCTTGGACTATTCCTCATGAATATATATTAATAATTTTAACCAATTAAAATGAACAGTGGGTGGAGCATTCAAGGAATCTCGAGTCTGTGACGTAATGTTATCAGCAATGTAACTATGACGTCAAAACATTTCAACATGGGATGTCAAAATCATACTAGAATTCTAGCAAAATGAAGACAACGATAATCCTTCGAAGTGTCAGTGAAATTATTTCATATTTTTTAATAATTTTATTTTCCTCAGTATTGATGCATTAGTTATCTTACAATATTTTTAATCACATGCATTTGTGATTATTTAAATGCCTCTATATTGTTTTAAAAAATGTCTGAGTCTCTAGTTTAATAAATCTCCCATGATTGTTTCGGTATAGTAAAACAGTTATGGAATGGGTATGAGGGAAATAGCAAATTTATGGTTCCCCTTGGCAGGAAACTATTTCCCTCGGCTGCTTAGCTGCCTAGGGAAATAGTTTCCTCCCTTGGGGAACCATAAATTTGCTATTTCCCTCATACCCATTCCATAACTGTATAATACATGTAGATTATTATTTCCATAACTTGAATTTTGAGGGAGTAACTATCTTCTTGTTTGTTGTTTGTGACCGTTAATGTTGATTTAATGGTCACAAGCTAAATTTTACTGGTGGCACGTCAGCTGAGCCAGTAAAACAGATGTTTGCGACTTTAGATCAACACATTAAACAGTCGCAAAAAACAAATGGGAAGATAGTAATATCCATTATGATGCAATTTATGTATTTTGTTTGATGTACAGTTTACATCTTAGTTTGTTGAGTTTTAATTCAGTGTGTCACAAAATGTTATGTTTTCGAGTTATTCTGTTATGACGTATGTCACATAGTGTTAAATCTAAAGCAAACTAGCATGGCGCAGCGCCATGCCCTTTTCTCTCAGTGCCATGCCCTTTTTTCCAGCGCCATGCCCTTTTTTCCTAGCAAAAATAAATAAATATGCCTAGCAAAGGCAAGATGGACTAGCGGCTTGGTTTATTCAGTGCATACTGGTTAGCCCTGAATAAACAAAGCCGCTAGTCCATCTTGCCTTTGCAAGGCATATTTATTTATTCCATTATTTTTCTGGGAATTTTGGCAATTTTCATATTAGATTTTTGGCCATATCTTGAATATAGAGATGAACAGTTACATTACATATTTAAAATTTGTCAAGAAGAGAATGGTGACTCAGGTGAGGGTTATGACCCACGATCCTCTTGTTTAAGAATTTTGACCTGTTTGAAAATGATGAACATCATTGTAACATACATGTAATCATGGTTTCATTTGATGTTTTGTTTTGCCTTTAACCTGTCTTGGATCCTCCAGGTATATATACACTAATTTTGTTTGAATTCACAAAAAATCAACAAAACCATTCTGTTTCTCTGCACATTTGGAAGTGTAAATTTAATTCACTGTCTGAAGATCAAAGTCTATGGGTTGATTCCTGTTAATGTGTTATGATGCTTAAATAAACTTCATCATGCCTCGGAAGATCAATATATGTGTGGCGTAGAGTCAATAAAATGGACTAATTAAACACAGATGACATGCTCTGTGGGATGGTAATTTCCGTCTAGTTGACTCACTTCTAAAGACAAAAATCTTTGGATATAGGAATAGATCTATGATTTTTATATTGGCCCCTCTCATAATTATTTGTATATGCTTATTATTCATTACTGCAATGAAGTCCAGGTGTAAATATTAGAATCCACTGAGTTGAAAAGAGTTAAAAGGGATGTTTTATGATTCAAAAGGTCAATTGTATATGTATAGCACTCAGAGGAAAATTCTCTCTCAGAGAAGGTATTTCCCAATTAAAAAGTATCGATCTTGGTAACTTCATCAGAATTTAAAGGGAATTCTGTGTCAACACATCTTTATTGAATGATAGTTTCTACTGTTCATGTCTAGAAAAGTTTTATTGGTGACTTATTTACAAATAGAAGTTTTTGGTGACAATCAACAATGAAAATTGGCAAAAAATCATTGAAGTTGTAATTACTACACCGAGATATCTTTTATTGGTACAGAGCCATTTTTCTGGTTAATGAAAATTTTTATTCTTTCATTTTGAGATTCAGTTGAACTTCAGTATCTTGAATACTATGCATGTGCAGATCAAGGGGGTGGGGTGGGGTAGGGGATTTTTCAGTGTTATTAAATTTACACAGTAAAGTAGGTATCAAATGAGCTTGGACCCCTAGTAAGTTAATTAGTAGAACTATATATAAGTCAAACCTTATTATCTTGAATTCAACAGGACCAAAATTAAACTTAAGAGATATATGAGGAAACGAGATAACAACAGTAAAAAACATAAGGAAAAGTGGTTGGACTGCCAATTCACTTCAACATATCCCTGGTATTTGAGATATTGGTGTTCAAGATAACAAAGTTCTTCTGTATGTGAAGTTAAGGAAAGCAGCTTGCCTTGCCTCCCCCCCCCCCCCCCCCACTCCCACCTTTTGGTGTTCTTTATAATTTTTTTTTTTTTTAGGTTTTGCTTTTCAAAAAATTTTTGGGTCATATTTTTTGTTGAGTAGGATGGACCCCCCTTGGAAAAAATATCCAAATTTGAGATAACGAGGTTCAAGTTTGTTATTTGATGAGATTTTACAGTAAATAATGTTATTAATAATCTTTTCTTTCTTGCAGTCGATAGGAAAGAATTGCTGAATTGGTAAGTTTGTTTTAACTTGAAATACTTAAACCTTGTTGTAAGAAAGCAAGCAAATGAAGTCAGACTGATTTATTTTTCTACTTTGTTAGCTGAAAGGTCAAGTGAGATTTTTTGAGCACATCTTGTCCAGCTTCCATCCACCCATCTGTCTATCTTTCTGTCCATCTGTAAACTTTTCACTTTCAAATTCTTCTCAAGAACCACTTGGTCAATTTCAACCAAACTTGCCATAAAGTACTTTTCATTTGATAAGGGGAGATAATTAAGGATTAGTGAAAATTTAATGGCATCATTTAAAAATCTTCTTCTCAAGAACTATCGGTACTAAGCCAAAAAAGATGAAACTTATCTGTAAGCTTCCTGACATAGTGTAGATTCAGTTTGTTCAAATCATGACCCTGGGGGTGGGGTGGACCACAATAGGAGATAAAAGTTTTACATAGGAATACATAGGAAAAAATCTTTTTAAAAAATTCTCAAAAACAGCTAAGCTCTGATTAGTCATATGACTATGGAAGCATCCTCAGGTAGTGTAGATTCAATTTTGTTCAAAATCATGACACTCGGGAGTAGGTTTGGGTCTCTTTATATATATATATATATATATATATATATATATATATATATATATATATATATATATATATATATATATATATATATATATATACATATATATATATATATTTATTAAGTGGCCCTTATATGTCTTTAAATGATTTTTTCAACTAGGCACTAATTTCTCTTATTTCTCTCTAGGGTGTAAATTTGTTAAGAGAAACTTGAGAATTTTAAATTTTATTAGCCTAAAAGGAAATATGTCTGAAGAAAAAGTTTCTGAGTGATATACTCAACTATGCAGTCAGGTGACTTTCACAGCCCATGGGCCTGTAAATAATTTTCAGTAATTATTTGAGGTTTATCTTATTATGGAGAGAGTATCTATAATTCTACACTTTATTTTTATGTCTATTTTAATTTTATCTTTCTTTTGATAGGTATCGAGATTTCATGAGGGACTGCCCTAGTGGTGTTTTACAAAGAGAGGTAAGCCCTACTGTTTACTGATCAATCTCAGTTGAATTATAAAGTATTGATCTGTACACTGGATGATATAAAAGGTCAACTATGATTTTGAATTATTTCAGAGACTTGTTTGAAATGTATTCTGATCAAAAAGCACTAAATACATTTCATCAGATTATTTTCAAAAAAAAAAATATGAATACACATGTTCTTGTCATTTACTTAGTATAAAAGAAAACACAATGAATATACTAAGTAAATGAAATAATTGGAATAATCATGTGAAAGAATGAAAACTTGTCAAATAATTTTATACATGTATCATTTAATGCTAGTTTTTTTTTAAATTTACTTCTGGCTTACAATCTCATGATTCTATTTGAATGTATGATCTAAATGTGCAATATATTAATCCCCCAAGAGTTGGTTTTGTTGAGATATAAATGCATTTGTTTTATATTATTCACTTGTCATGGTGGCTTAATTCTAATATATCACTGATGTAGGCAACATCAATAGCATACCATTAATACCGTATCATGAACTCTTTTAAATGTATTTTGAAAGAGATTTCAACAAGAGTTTGCATGGAATTCTAGGGAAAAACACAATTTCCAATAGCATGACATTTCCTAATTCCCATATTTGCTGTTGATGAGGATTTGGCAATGCCATTATACAAAATTAATGTGTCCATTTTTTGACTCAGAGGACACAATGTAAGATACAAAAGGCCTGGGTATGAACATTTGTTTTTCTCTTTATTATTTATATGTGTCTAGGGTGATTTTGACAACTGCCAGTGTTTTTTGAAGTCAGAGTTACGCCCCTTTCAACAAACTTGATAATCTCATTAGAGTAGTCCAGAAATACCTTTCAATCATTAACAGATTAACACAATAGGATAATATCACTGCTTAATTTGGTACAACTTACATAGCATTGATACCTGTATTATTGATCTATTAGAATGATTAATGTTTTTACTTATTAAGACTATTTCAGAAATCTAAATGTGTTATTCCAGGTCAAAACTTAAAAATGACATTAAGTCTCAAGAGTAGATTAACACACCACTTTAAAATTGCTTATAATGCCCACTAAAAAGTTCAAATACATTAAATTGTACAGAAAGTAGTTAATAAACTGATATCTTGAAAAAGATTAAAATTTATAGAGATTTTTCATCCTTGTTAGATTATATATTATCAATGCATATAGAAGTTTATAATCTTTAGTTTACACTGCATACATGAGACGATATATTTCAAGTAAATATTATGCCACATGCAAATAACTTTATGCAATTTTTTTTTCTGCATATTCAATACAATATTATTCTAATATTATGGAAATAACCTTTCTGCATGTGGTTTCTACTTTGGCTCGGATTTGATTTTGTTTTTCAATTGCAAAAACACACAGATATCCACAATTATATAGTCAGGCATTGCCAAATGCTAAATTTTCTCTCAATTTAGCTCAGTTATTTAATTTTTAGGTAAAATTTGGAGGTGAACAATGCCATTAAAAGTAAGAAGATTGACCATTTTGTAATTTTAAGTTGAATGTTTTTGCAGCGGTGTTATGCCATGACAGGCAAAAAAGAAATTATTATTAGAGAAAGTTTGACAATAGAGAGTTGCTGGGTTCATTAATTGCAATTAACATCTGCTTTCTGGGGACATGAATGTAACATAAATAAAAGAAAAATTAAATTTTCTCTAGTTTTGATTCCGAACAATGTCCGAGAGGTTTGAGAGGGATTAGATAAGGATTAGCCCCCTCAGTTTGTTTTTGCATTGGATGAAGTTATAATGAGTTATTATTAAATAGGATTTTCTCTCTCCATAGTTCACAAGCTTTTTTGTTAAGGGAATCTGTAATCAAATCTGCGAGAAAATCTATTATAATATTGGAATTTATTGATTTTTGCAAGATTAATTTACAGATATTATTCAGTGATTGTAAAACTGTTTTCTCAATTTCTCACCCTGAAACTTGTCATTTATCAATGATGTTTTGCTTTGATGGTATGAAATATTGATTTGTATGCAACTGAACAGGAAATTATGATTTAGGTTTCTGCCTCAGTTGAAATGAATTTCCGAGTTTCCGATATCCAACCTGACTACTGTCTGTATAAGTATAATACACTTGTATGTATGGATTTTAGACAGACTTAAATAGGGCAACAAATCACAAATACTCTAAGTATTTCTAAATAATTTGCAAAAAAAACCTGGGGGTTTCAAACTGCTTACAACTTTGATTTTGTAATTTTTCACAATTTCCAAATGAAATCATTTTTTTCACTCAATTTTTGAATGTTTTTGATTTGAATGTCCTTTTTACTCCCTATTTAATTTCTTTTTCTTCCCTATATCTGAATAGGATCCCACTTGAAAAATGTGGGATGTTGTACTGAGTATCCCCCATGTTTGTCTGTTCAGATTTTTTTCTATAAATTGTCTTCCAACCTTTAGACTTATTTACTACATAGGGTAGGATAGTTAGAGGAATAATACCTTAGTAGTTTTTAGGGTCACTTGGTCAAAAGTCAAGATAGTTGCTTTGACTATATGCAATATCTCAAATGTATTCACTGTATGTAGGAAATTTTCTGCCTGTATTTTATTTTTGCTCCTTTTGCCCAGAATATATAAAAAAAAAAAAAACGGGGTAAAGTTGTTTGCTCGTATGAAAGGGTGAAAATAACATGGGGCATAAAAACCCTGTGTGCAGTACCTTAAATATATAACCTCTAATGATGATTTCTTAGGTGTGAATTATATTTAATATATAACATCAAGTGCCTATGTAAAATCTTTATGAATAACATGGGTAGAAAATGGTAAGATTTGCTTGGCCTTATACAATTTCAGCAATTTTGTTTAGTATTTTCATGCTGACAATAAGTGAAATGTTATAAATTTGGAGTAATAGAGACAAATGGGTAGCTATATGTACTGCCCTCTTTATTCAGGCAATTTTTTGAGCTAACCTGAGCCAAAGGCTCAAGTGAGCTTTTCTGATCAAAATTTGTCCATTGTCTGTCATTGTCATAAACCTTTCACAATTTCATCTTCTCCAGAACCACTGGGTCAATTTTAACCAATCTTGCCACAAAGCATTCTTGGGTAAATGGGGATTCAAGTTTGTTCAAATGAATGCCCATGCCCTATTTCAAGAGGTCCCGGGAGATAATTAGGAAACAGTGCATATTTGGTGGGTCATCCAAAAATCTTTTTGAGAATTACTGGGCCAGAAAATTAATGTATTATGAAAATTATGTGGAAGCTTCCTGACACAGTGTAGATTCAGATTTGTTCAAATCATGGCCCCCAGGGGTTAGGTAGGGCAACAATCTGTGGATCAAAGTTTTTCATGGAAATATAAAGGAAAAATGTTTTAATATCTTCTCAAGAACAGGTCAGTGCCAGCATCTCTAGGTAGTGCAGATTCAAGTTTATACAAACTTGAGATGAAAAAAGGAGGGTCAATGTATCTCAGGTGAGTGTTGTGGCTAATGGGCCTCTTGTTAAGCTGATACAATGAATACAGTATAAGCCCTTTGAAGTGAGTTTTCTTTATCATACATTCAGCAAGTCCACAGTTAATGAATGGGTAACACCAAGAAGGCAAATACATGGGCAGTTTAAGTTAAACACATTAAAGCCTTTTTTGTGAAATCTCTGTGGAGTGGTCAGATAAAAACAACAATTCTTTTCACATTAGACTGCTAATATGGTAATGGGTTTCTCTAGTTAAGTTTCTATTTCAAATATACAAAACAAGATATGTTTGTTCATAAAAGAAACACTATTGAAATCAGTGCAAAGATCTACAGTCTGAATAGAGAGGTTTAATTTGTCTTAATTTTCAGTGTACACAGATTTGATGAATGTCTGAAAGAGTAAAGAATTTAAATTTGTTGTTACCTAAACACCTCATGGAGACAAATTTTTTTATCTTAATAAATGTTCAGTGTCAATTTTTGGACACCTGTGATATTGTATGTTTAAGACTCACAGTTCCTTGGGTACAGTTCTAAACTATATAGTGTGACTGTGTCGATCACTCCCCGATCGAAATAATCATTTAGATTTTCTGTACTTGAAAACCTGAATGTCTGCTCTGTTGAAGATTGTAGCCATGATCTGATTTGTAATGAAACACCCTCCTAATTACAGAGTTGCCTCGTTATATGCCAGTATATGTCTTTTTTGTGCCCTTTCTGTGTGATGTATCAGGTAGCCTTATAGGAATTACAAGATCTTCATTGGTTGGGAAATATATTTGTCCATAATTTATTCTGACTTAGTTTGTACAAAGTAATAAAGTAGTACTTAACCCAAGACCGACAAAGTTGAAACCCATAAATTTGAAATAAAGAAATCTTTTCTAAAAGTGCCAATTAATAAATTTTTAATTTTGTCTACCATGCAGATTTCTGTGCAATCTGTGCCCTACAGAAGTTCTTAATCATGCATTCACATGTAACGTAATGATGATATAGCAATTACTACCCTGAACCTAAATCTTATGGAACATTAAAAGTACATTCTTCTTAGGTTTTATGAAAATTAACATAACAGTCTCTTAATATATAAAGACTCTTGCAGGTTTTAAAGGAATTACCTATTAATGAGAATGTCTGTACAAAATTAACCTTAAGAAATTCTTTGCAATGGTTTTAAATAGACAAGCTGATTATGTGCTTTCTGACTTACAGTACCATATCTGTAGCATAAATCGGTGATCCTTAGTTGATCTATCATGTTACTAATCTAAGTCACAATAAAAGTTTTCATGTAAATGGAGTTTTAAATTTTTCCATTATTCCTCATTTGGTCATCTGTTTGCTTCCCTGCAATCACCTTTCGTAAAGCTGATATTTATTACTGTTACCAGAGTCGAGTGCAACTATGAAGAGCATGTTTTGTCCAAATTTGGCAAGTTATTGAAATCGTTTTTGACTGATTAGAATGCCATAAAGCACCTGCAAGGGTAAATATTTG